CCCCAAAACCCCAAAACCCCAAAACCCCAAAACCCCAGCTCGTTAGAAAATTATTGAAACGGGGATTTTATAACCATCACAGTTATTCATATTTTAAAGTAATTTCTCTCCATTTTTAGTTCGAAATATTGCCTCGAACTTTTTATGTCTGTTCCCAGCTGGGTCTCAGGATGTTATGAGTATTCAAGTTGTGAAAATTTCTCTTAGCCTCATGTAGATCGCTAAGGAATTCTCAGAGTCCTCAAAGTTTTCTATGAAATCTAGTGATATAACTCTTATGCCAAACTGGTGAGCAAGTCCGGTGGATAGTAGTAAAATCAAATCTTTTCAAGACAGTTTTATATTTATCAATTTTCTTCTACTTTTTGGGAAGTTTTATCCATGAAATACTGGTTAGGGCCGAGAGAATTTAACCTAAGTTCTATTTATGGATAGTAGTTTAAGTAAGCTGCCAACAAGGATCTTACTCAAACCACTCTATTTTTCTGAATAAGATTCTTAAATGAGGAAATATGAACGTAGGTATGGCTGTATATGATAAGAATCGATCGAGTATGAGGACTCGGGTTGTGGTATAAATTGTTCTTAATCCTACCATTAATTTTCTCCTTGTTTCTCAAACTTAAAGGATCTCTGACAGACATCTCAAAGCTTACTGGACGTTACTAAGATAATAAAAATGACTCAGAATCGATTATGTAGAAATATTTTTAGTATAACTTATTAATGGATAGTATATTTACTCATAATTGATTCATTCAGAAAAGTTTCAAATAGGCCTTAGCTTCTTCGACCTTTTCAATAGTAGAGAGTTTTTTCCGAGAGAGAGCGTTGGTGTCATTTCTGTGTTGTCCCTTCATGTAACAGCTCTCATAAAGTTGAAGTCACCTGGATGAGTTTGCTCGATTCTCATGTTGGTGAGGAACTTTGAAATTCTGTACTCTTTATCTCAGCGATCACCTTTAGATTTAAATTTCCTGAATTTTTCTAAAATATGTGTCAGAATTTCTTGATTATGGAAAAAGAAAACAGCAAACCAAATGAATAGAGCATAAAGAGATATCCTAGTAGTCAATTAGCTAAAAGTACTATCAATTAAGCATATGATATTGTGAATCTCAGGACTCAGTCTTTTTCTTTATAAAGACTGGATGTATCCTCGCATCAAAAATATTTTGAAGCGAGGTCACTAATGAATCATAATAAAGTGTTTTAGTGGTAATTCACCACTCAGAATTGGTAAATTCCAAAGAATGCACTCTTTTTATGCACAGATACAAAGAGGTATCAAAAGGATAAGCCTTATTGCAAACATTCTGATATCTTACCTAATCTTTTCATCCTTGTATCAGACTCGCTTCATTGAGTCTTATGACTTTTGGAAGAAAGGTTGTCTTCATCGTTGCTTTTCTTCATTTTCCAAAGTTTGGTCTTTTGTTGTTTTAAAGCCATGCTCATTTGGATAAATATATTTTATTTAATCTCTATAACACTGGGCTTATTAGGGGTTTTGGGGTTTTGGGGTTTTGGGGTTTTGGGG